TCGATGGTGTCTATTTAGAGTAATCCGCATGATAAAAATTTAGCATCGCCCGTTATCGTCCAATTTAATAAGCATCCTTTTAATTGTATTTATGATTTAGAGGTGACGCAGGTTTAATATCTGAAGAGCTTATAGTAAGGAAACTTGAGGAGTTTTTCATTAAAAAATGATCAATAAAAAATCGATGGGTAACTAAAATTGAACAAAAATAACACATAATTTAAAAAAAATATTTTTTTCTCTAAAAAACCTCCAGTAGGAAAAGAACATAAGCAGCTAGAAAAAAATTGAAATAAAAAAAGCAAAAAATACTTACATTTCAAACTGTTTTTAACTAAAAACTATACGAAAAATAAACAAAAACTAGTGAATTTCGACTAAATCTTGCGACTCTTGAGGACCGAAAACAGGTAACTAACCACTTGGAACCCGGTCGCTCTATGCGGTACAAACAAAAAAATATTTATAAAAAAACAAAGATAAATAGCGAGGCAACGTCGAGCGGTGGAAATCGAGATCTCCGCGCTCAGCTGATCACGTAACTGCAATGTTTTGGTTTCTTCTATCACAACTTGTATGTTTACCACACTGTTGCCGCACTTTCTAGTCCTCATGACTCACCTCTAATATACCTAGTGAGTTATGATATCGATTATAGAATAACTGCAGTTGGGTAATTCGAACAAAGGGTCTTCCTAAGGCAATCCAGAAAAATTTAGTTTTAGTTTCCGATGAACAAAATCCCAAAATCTATAAATTATTTTTTCTTAATTATGGAATATTTGAAAGAAATAGTTTGTTCTACTAATTAATAATCGAATGAAATATTCATTCAATTTCAAGCATAAGCTCGATAAAAAGTCGGCATTGATTAATATGGTCTGGAAAATTCATTTCACCCATTTTTATTTCAGCAGCATATTTTGCTCGAGAGAATTCAAGAGATTTAAAATTTCAACAGAAAACTTTTAAGTTGGCATGATTTTTCCAGTAACGAGTGGTTCTTGATTTTTCCATCTTTTGATTTTCCATCTTCTTGATGTTTTTTTTTTTCAGTAACGAGCTGATCGTTTCCGCATTTTATTCAATACGAGTTATAGTTAGTCTTAAAATATATTATGGAAACTGAAGGCTTTAAAAAATTAACGCTTTTGCCTCCGTTCTTTCTACGGCACGAAAATAATTATGTTGATGTCTTAGTTATCTATTTCTTTCCTAGAAGTGCCTATCTTCTATCTTTATAACTCAAGAAATGAAGTACGTATACAGCTACAATTTAAAATATTTAAGTTAATTATTATTAACCATTCAATCTATTTCATAGATTGAATCATAGTCATAGAAACAGTCCTAGATAGAAATTCCAGATTTCTGTAAACCCCCAGTACATATTAAGCAAAAAAATCGTAATATCTAAGCAATCAATTAAGACTACTTTTATGTAAGAAAGTCTTTCAAAATAAATCGAAAATAGAGTCATAAGTAATAAAGTAAAGCTCAAAGGATACCTTGATGATAATTATGAAAACGACGGTTAAACGAATTTTAAAGCACTTAAATACTCGTGTCACTCGCATTTTAGATGCTTCTTTCCATGCCTGTTATGAGATAGACTGTTATGGATCAGCCAAATAGTTATTTATATGACTATTATGAGATATTTTTCCTTGAATAATCGTTGCAATTTTTATATGCACTATTTCCAGACCCCATATTTTATTTTTAAGAACACGCCAAATATTCATCAGTAAAGACGTCTAGACAATTTTCTAGCATTCACTACCTAGTAAAAGTAAACTGTTATTCGTCGAAAATAAAGTATTTGCTTTTGTTACCTAGTCTATTCTTTACTAAATAGTCCGTACTTACAAGTATTTACTACTGTTTTCTAGAATCTTACTTTTTTTCTATTTCTTTCTATTTTCTCGAATTCTATGTTGCTGTGTGATTGTTGCAACGCAAGTAAAGAAGGATAAAAATAAATAAACGAATTATAGAGGGGAGGAAGGAAAAAAGCAGAATGAAGAAAAAACACTAAAGAAAATCCAAAAACAAATTATAGACTAATCAGAAAAGTTCATATTTACATTTGTCTGCAATCGCCTCTTTCAGAGATGCAGGGTGATGAAATTATAAATTTTATTTAGTTTTTCTACAAAATATTCCCTGATTTAATTCGAGGTAAGCGACGAACTTACAGGCATACATTAGTAAATTATTGTGCTAATAACTCGAAAACGCTGGAAGATACGAAAAAAATACTCGCAAAAACAATTTTAATTGAATAAAAAGTTGAAAAATGTAGTTAACTTTAGTGGAGAACCACAAGAAATTTGATGAACACACTGAACGATGTAGACCACAGAGCGTAATCAACGTTCCAAACTAGACGATAAAGTATTAAAATCTGGAACAGATCGCACAGTAAAGCTTGTTATTTCAACACCCTGTACCTCGGAGACAACGCATTTCCCGACTATGCTTATATTAAGTTTTCTGTTTATTCTTGTAAGTTCAATCACCTCTTTCATTGTCCAGCTCAAAAATTAAATCACCCTGTAGAGGGTGAAGATTAAACCAAATATCTCGCAGTAAAATATTGCTCTATTAGGAATATACAGGGTGTTAAAGTTTCTACTTCAATATCAAATTTATTCCATAACATCTACAATTTTAATTGAAACTTCGGAAAAAGTTGCAGTAGTGGGTTTTTGAAGGTGGGAACCTAAAATCTAAACGTAGTTGTAAGGTATCTGCTCGAGGGTGTTACACCAACAACTCCTACAATATTTTGTAGGAGTTGTTGGTTACACACGCTAAGCTGTTTGGTATTTTTAATCAAAACTTTTTAATGGGGGAATTTTAGGAAACGCAATTTCTAGGCCGATGGTTTGTAAGGTAAAATCGATTGAATAAATAGCGTTGTGCATATAAAGTTACTTAAAGGCAGCCGCTTTTCTAAGCTCTGTTAATATCCAATTCCCTATCCTTGAAGCCATTTCATGTCCTAATGAGTCAGTTTGTTTGTTTCCTGTTTTAGCAGGTGTAAATCTGCCACCGTCTTTTCAAAGCTATCTATAAGCCATTGTTTTGTCCATTTGCAATATAATTATTTTATCAAGTTAATTTTCGCGACTAAAACCACCGGTTCCATATGCAAATACAATAGATGTTTTAACTCGAATAAAAGACACTTTTTGTCTACATTATCGTCAATGGAAGTAGGTGAGGTGAGTTTGCATAAAACATTCTCATACAAAATTGTGTGCTAGATTTAAAGGAAATTGAATAGAGCGCAATCATCGGAATTAATAATTAAACAATCATTGATTTTCTTTGTCTAGGCCTGCAGGTAGGCATAATATAGAATAGAGGACTTGACAACAACGCGCATTATTGATGAAAACGCGGGCGAGGGGCAAAGTAAACCATAATCAGCTGGTTTGAAAGCTCCCAGCTGGCTGCTGGTTTGGAGAATGGAGATTGCGCTCTGTGCTCTCCTTTGTTTGCCAACTAACTAGCCATCAACATGGTCTAAACTAGACGGTTTGGTTTTATCATTTTTACGGAACAAAGACGTGATGTAAATACTAAAAATAGGACATATCAATATACAAACAATTACATGCATGTGTTCAACCCAATGGGATTAAGCTGGGCTTTTGTCTCCATATTCTATAATACTTTTCCATTAGGATTCACTCTTTCAAGCTTCGGATTAGGGTGGCTGAAGGTCTATTTGGTCAAAATCGCTTTCAGCTCCACAATGTGACTATTATTTTATTGATTTCGCACTCTACTAAAGGCCTTTTCATGTTTGCCTTGGAACATAACAAAATCAATATCTAGCCTGAGTTCAGATCACCCATAGAATAGGTATAGAAGAGGTTCAAAGGCACAAAAATAAATCCTAGAGTTTACATCTAAAAACGCAACTATGTTGGTTTAATAACATTTTCTTTAGTTTTGCGTATACCTGCGACTGATAAGTAAATAAATTAATAATAATTAAATTAATAAATTAAATCTAATAATAATTAAATTAATAAATTAAATTTAATAAAAATAAATTAATAATAATTTATTTAATTTTCCTCGAGTTAAGAGTTTAGGTAGTTTGTTCGGTTGCTCTAGTTGCAAAAATCTAATTTGAAATTTCAAAAATCTATTAAGTTCAATTATTATGGTATAAAGTTGGAACCTTGATAGATCAATATTTTCCTTTCAGTTTCTATGTGCAGATTTTAGGTACTTTTTTGGGTTATACAGGGTGATTCAGGTTTTATATTGATAACTTCAGAAATTGAATAAGCATGATACATTTTTTGAGCGCATCGTTTTGAAGATTGAAATATTATTTTTTTCTCATAAATTTTCATCCGTTTAGAGTGAAATCGGGAGCCGTTTATCAGTTTACACCGGCACTAGTTACTGTGTTACTTACACACGAGACTAGCAATTTAGCCAATTTATTTTATGTTTTTTTGAGGAAAATGTTTTTCAGCTGAGTACTAACATTTATTTCGGGATTATAGAAACATATGATTCTGACGTCAAAATTCGGATGTATTTTTAAGTTGGGTTTTAGCATCTCGTGGCTTGCGTAATTCACGTTAATTGAACAAAAGCATTGAAACTGAAAGTGTGTTTTATGCCAAATATTAAAATACTTATCCGCCCAGTGCGAGCAGTTTCATGCGGATTGCTGTAAGCCCGATAAAATTATTGATCAGTCTAGCAACAAAGCAAATTCAATAAGTGTGCGTAATTTAATTATTGTTGTTGCTCACGTCATAACATAATTGCGATAACATTCTAGACACTTTGGCAGCAAAAATGACTTTTAAATGTGATATCAGCTATTTTTTCCGTTGTTGACAAGTTAATACAGATACAAAAGTGAACCATTCCAAGGTTGCTTTTATTTTGAGAAAAACCATTAAAATGTGTTTTCCCAGGGCGTAATTTAATTAAAAAAATACACTTAAATTCCCACTTACCGAAAGTTTGTTAATGTCCCTATGGGCGATTGTCTGGGTTCTAAGGATACTGAACACAAGTGGGGGAAGAAGTCTTGTAGAACCGGTATTGCTAGACGAACGTTGACAAATTTGGAAGCTTTCAATTTAGTTGTGAATCGGGTATAGAAATGTATTCTGGAAAGAAAAAAATAGTTTAAAAACCCAAACTAACAGCAGATGAAAGATGAACACTCGAGACAACGACAAACTTGTACAGGAAGCAAACAATTTCAAAACTTAAATGTTCGACCTAAAAAATCGATTGATTAAAATTTTTTTCCGTTTTGATATTATTTCCCCAAGCGCTTGCACCACAGATGAGAGCTTTTGAAATACAAATATTGCGTAAGTTTGTGAGAAATTTTGTGTAATTATTCGGTATAGGCCCAACATAGAAACCCGTTATGGTAATTGGATGATCGCATAAAACGTAAATAAACCCACGAAAAGCGTATTTTTCGCGTGCTTTTCTTAAATTTAACATTTTATTCGGACCATTACCCAATATTGAGGCTTCATTAAGTAGGAGTTACGTATATTTTTTGATCGCAAACAAACCCGAAATAGTATTTCTGCATATAGAATGTTTAATTTTTTGGAAACCAACTATTTAATTCAAGTTGAAAATTCGGATATTAATTTAATAAAAGCGTTAGCTCAAAATATTTTTTTTCGAAAGTTTTAATGTTTCTGATAAAATGCAATTTTTCCCTTGTAAAACAGTGTTCAACCAATGAAAAGTTTTTTATTCACATTAGTAATAATTGGTGAGTAATCACCCCGACGCTTGGACTATAAATTTCATAATTCGCAAAAAAACAAGAATTACGTAAAAGAAGTAAAGGTTTGTGTGTGTGTATTAATTAATGTATTTATATCATATAGGCTCATCACAAAAATTTGCTACTTTCAGTTAAACTAAACAAGTTTTGGTGATTAGATGCTGTTTTAAAGCGTAAATAAGGTGGAGAAAACATATTTTCGGCAAGGTATTTAACAACTTTTGTGAGTGGTTCGAGCTGTATTCAATAATTAAGCTTTTTTGGCAAAATAGCTTATTACAAAACATATATTAACCGAAAACATGCTTTCACAAGTTGGCAGTTTCTTTTCGTGGCAGGCTTTTTTTCACCTTTTAAATTAATTTTGCATATAAAAACAGATCGAAATATACACCAAATAACATTTTTCTAACTTTATAAACTTAATTTTTGACATACTTTTTCTTCAAAACAGGCCTGCAATTAATTTTGTTTTAATGAACAGTTCGCTTTATAGGCTTCACTTGCAAAACATGGTCCTTCGAATATTTAATTGGCATTCGCTCGCTCCAATTGTATGATTTTCAGTTAAAAATGTTTCCTAATCAATCAATTCTCATCCAATGCGATGGTTTTTTACTCATACTCATGCTCTTGGACTATGCATGAGTTGAAGACTTGTGGAGAAAAAAAAACAGCATTAAGCAAGCAAAGTTTGTATGTAATTTTCGATATAGGCCCATCACAAAAATTAACTATTTTTAGATAAACTAAACTCGTTATGGTAATTAGATGCTCTTTTAAAGCGAAATTAATGGGGCCAAAAATGAAATTTATATCAATCAATCATATTATTAAAGAAATTGACGTTTTAGGAAGCTCCTGGTATTTATTTCTGGACTTTATGAACAGTCGCAATGCTCTCAAAATGTATTCTTCAAACATGCGCTAAAAAATCAGTAAAATATTTATTTTTTTAGCTACACAATCGAGACAAAGAAATCAATAGTGTTTTGCTCGGTTTTTATGAAAAGCACGATGTTTGGCACCTTCTCCTTCCTTCCATTCCTATTTCTCATGTAGTTAGGCAACAAAATGTGATAGATCGTGAAGGAAATTCCAGTGTTATCGTGGTAAGCTTTTCTAATTTTTTAATGTATCGAATATAGAAAATCACGTATTTTTTTTCTTTTTTTGGGATGCTTTAATGAAAAATCGCAATGAATTATTGGGGATTAACTGAGAACCTTAAAAGAACAGACTTGAAAACGATTGAAATCCTATACAGACTTGTTGGGTGAGGAAAGTTTGGAGGAAGTTCAGAAAAGGAAAGAGGCAACAGCCTAGAGCGTAATATATGCAAAAATAAAGAAAAAGAAAAGAAAATCACATTTGATCCAATGGAGCAAAGAAAACTTATATTAATCATCAACGAAGCCAAAAATACAGAGAAAATGTCTGAAAATGACAACGACAAAATATAGCGCGTGCAATTGAATTGCAGAAAAAAACGCTGTTGGATTTATTTACATAATTGCAATTATTAACGGCAGAAGAATTCAATTGAAAACGAACTTGATTAAGATTAGCTTTGATAGCTAAATTGCTTCATAATTATTTCAACATATAAAAAATGAAACTAAGGGCTGAGGAAAAGTGGAAAAAATACAAGCAAAAGTAATCTACTTTTGCAATTGAAAACATGGACGGAGTTCTCTTGCTGGATTCATTAGAAAAAATGTAGTTGTGAACTCTCTACTCCCTACTGTTTTACTCTCCCAATCGCTTGGACTATACTGAGCTAAAAAAATGTATTGCGTAAATAAAGTGTGGGTGTGTGTGTAAATTTGTGTAGTTATTCGGTATATTGCTATTCTTGGATAAACTAAACACGTTATGGTAATTGGATGGTCTTCTAACGCGTAAATAATGTAATTTTTACATGCCTCTCACAATTTTTTAGGCCATTTTCACGTAGAACATGCACATCTTGCACACACATTTGTCCAGAAACAAATTACTTGACTTATTAAATGCAAATTTTAAAACTGCTAGGTTGTATTGAACATTTTAAACTCCTTTGTCAGACGTTTCAGATTAATTATTTCAGTTATCTTCCAGATAATTGAATTAGGGAATCAAGGCCCTGCATTTTATGTTATTATGAATTTTAGATACTTTAACAAAACAGCCCTGTTAGCTCTCAAAAAATGACTAAAAAAATAACTAAGGCGTCCAAAGCTAGTGAAAAACATGCAATTTTTTTAGTCGCTCTTTATTCCTTACATAAGTCAAAAAATAAAATAATCTAAATTACATTTCCCTTTCATCATGATGATTTTGTAGTGTTTGAATTAGAATGGAACGTAGTCAATTGTTTGTAGGATTATTCCCTATTTATTTACCCCCCTGCCAACTTTAGTAACTAATTTTATTAGGCTCCTATTATGAAAACATAAATATTTATATGACCTTTCAACAGTCATTGCTTGTAAGTTACGTAGCAATTTTAAAAGTCGTTAACAACTTTTACTGCCTCGTGCAGTTTGTACAAATGTACCAAACGACTATTTATAGCTCTTACACGTATAAGGGTTCAGCAATTAAAATAAATACCTCTTTAAAAAAAGCAGTTTTTAATTCTTTTAAAATGGTGCAGGTTTTAAGAAAAACGTTTTTGTAATTAGATAATCAATAGCACAGCATTCAACAAAAATTAATTGGTCATTCAAAGTTAAAAAATTATTCGGGGTTTTACAAAAAATACATAACTTCAAAAAATTAAGGTCGAAATGGCAATTGCTTAAGCCGATCATAAAAATGTTCAAAACTTGTTTCTTCACCACAGCAATAGTATTTTGCAAACTACTCAATTCCAAAAGAAATTTTGTCGTATTTAAACATTTGCATCTAAAACTGTTTCTACTAGAGGAAAAAATTAACTTCCTAGTTGCGTTGGTGAGATTTGATTTAATCATCTTTCTTTTTTTTTATATTTAAGTTCGCACGCAGCATATACAGTGCGAGTGGACCTTGGAAGAATATCAACAAATCAAAAACAACGTTTTTATTAAATATTCTCAGGCAGGTTAATTGGTATTTTAAATTGCGCTCTTTTTAATGATGAGATTTTATGTCATGGACTGTTGCCATCCAAAAAATAGTCGAGCTCGTCATAACTCAAATTTGGATCACTTTGTATAAAATCTTCTTGCATTAAAAAGAGCTTCGTTCGAGCATATTTTCCCAAAAAATCTCACATTGTGTTTAATGTAAATACTAGTACAAGTGATTTTTTTGTGCAAATTATTTTAATTTCATCGACTGTCCGTGGATAAGTTTTCATTAGTTAAGCATATTCCAACAGCAACATCTACTCAAAATAAACAAATAAACATTATCCTTTGCAATATTGTTACGCAACCACAACAATACTTGTGACCTTTCCAGTTTATTTTCGTAGTAATCTATGCGAATTATGCTATTAATCGTTTGTATTTAGGAAAAGCGACACGCTGACTGAGCGTGCACATTTTAATGCTCATGACGTCCATCCACAATACGAATACACTCACGGAATGTTGAGGAAAAGTTCTACGAAATCATGCCAGGCTTAATTGCTCTAAAACTACGGAGAATCAAGGCCAAATTATTTAAAATCCATACCAGAAATTAGCTATTGGTGGTTCGACTAAGAGAGCAAAGTTACTATAAAGTTCAGGCTATTATTGCATAACGTTCTAACACAGGTGTGAAGAATGATGAAGATGTTCTGAATAAAACATTCTCTCTGTTAAATAATAGTTTCTCAAGACGAAAAGAAGTAAAGCAAGTAACAAAAACGCGTTTCATCAGTCTCAAATTATATGAACATTTTTAAATCCAATAAGGAACTTTGTAATTAGCATCTTTTATCCACAAAGAAGTTCTACAAAGTTCTAATAGAAATCGATTGAATGCTCACAGCTGTTGATTGGTGTTAAATTTTGTTTGCACAATAGATTCAATAAGAGTAGAAAGTAAAAAACTTGAAAACATATGTGAACAAATTTGAAATAAAAGTAAATAGTAATTTTTCGACAAATTTTCAATTGAAAAAACATTCTATACTCCGTATTCAAGATCAGTAAACATTTACTATAAATTTATTAAATGTGTGTAATGTGTTAAATGCACATTACACGCATATCATTAGGCTGTTTCTTTCAGAAGAAATCGTTTAAAATGCGTAAGTGTAAGTAAGAATAATGTACTCTATGAAAAAGGTATTCACATTCAATTAAATTATTTGCAAAACATTAACAACTTAATTAAATATAATCTAAAAATATAAGCCGAAATATAGGTCGTTTTATAAACGTACATACAAAGCAATCTCGAATTTACATTATATCAAAATCACTTGTCTGTAGCCTGATTTTCAACTGAGTAAACTCGCTTTTGTCCTTTTGTTTACTTTAATGTAAAATTAATTATTTACTTAATAGAGCAGGCGAAGATAACGAACCTAATAAACTAGACCTAGTTAGAAACAAAGGAAATTGTAGTCGCGTCGTGCGAGCTTTTTAAACTGTTTCAGATTAAAATTAGCTGTTTATATTGGAAGATCCAGACACAAAAATAAGAATTTTAATTCAATCTAGATTTGTGTTATCAAATATAGTTGCAAAAGTCAACCGTTATCGAAACAATTTTGGAATACAACCAGACTTTAATATATAAATTTATAATAAGACAATAATCCCTTTCTGATGGCTTTGGACTCTCGCAGTCCTAAAGCTCATTAGTAATTTATGAGACTTCCACTTTAGAACAGGTTGAAAACTTGAAAATACCAGCTTCGAAAACAATACTTTACAAACCACACAAGTGGCATATAAATAAAAGAGGGCTTAAATTATTTAAAAATAACGTTCGTTTCATGAATTCCCTTCTTTAACTTAGATAAAATGTGGGTTGTTTGTGTGTATAAAAGAAAAATAACACTTGAAACGTTGAAGCAATACTCATAAACACTTGCAAGATGTTTGTGTGAAGAGTGATTAGTGTGGGTGACTGATTCAAACTTACAGACAGACTAATGTTTTTGGGATTTTTTAAATAAAATTTGTCTTCTTTAATAATTGTTTAAAACCATGATTTTAATGTAACATAATCTCCAATTTGACTTATTTCAATATTGCTTTGCAAGATAATGCCAGTTCAACTCAGAAATATTAGATCTGGCTAATTTCCTCTATTGTTCATTTATTGAAATTAATGATATCGGGAAGCTCTCTATTGAAAGCATGCCACGCGTGATTCCTATTAGGGGAAGGTTTTAAGGCCGCCAGCGGTCTACGAGTTTTCAGAAAATAATTAAAATAAATTTTACTGATTATATAGCAACAAACATTAAAGCTAGATAAAAATTGCATAAATCTTTTAGAAGAGTATACAGTTGATCAAATATTAGATATCAAAGACCGTTTGCTAATAAATGTAATAAATCAATGAACCAACTGAATTTCAATACATATCCTGCACTGTGAGTACCGGCTTTGAAAATACAGGTCCGTGTCTACAATTTTTCGAATACTTATTAAAAAGCCGATATTCAGCCTTAAAATAAGTCAACATTTTTTCAGCAACGGAACTGAGTTACTGCGCCGGTGCGTTGGGTTGGCGCACCAAGACTTGCGTTGCACTGCGCCAACTCCTAAAAATTTATTGAGTTATCCAGGCCTAGTATACACCATATTTTGATCCTACCGAGCCGTATTCAAACGTGAATTTTAGTGCGTCTAGCCGAACTCAATCCCAGTTTCATCGAAGCAGCAAAGTGGTTATAAAATCAGAGTGAGTCAATACTTCTTTATTATTTCCTTATTATTTGAAATCAGCTTTCCATGCGGCAATTGCAAACTCTTCGTGTCACGTATGCTTATTCAAATTGAAGTCTAACACGTGGTTCTTAACACTTGGTTCTAAGAAATATTTCTATCACTTCATATCTGAAACATCTATTTCATATCTCTTAATTGATTGAAAAATTGCTTAATTCAGAATCTGTCCCGTTCTCGATAAAAAACGCGTTTCGAAAGTTTATAGTCAATCGCTTTAGTAACTTCACGTGACCATGGAAATCTCAGTCGGAAACGAAGCGTTATTAAAGGAAAACTAACTCGTTTTATTTGGTTTGTGACAAAAATCGAAGAAGCCCATCAAAATCCCGAGCTAATAGTCCCTTTCAATCTACGCAATTACAAACAC